TGAGTAACTTTTTTCACTTAACTGTAATTGTACTTTTCCTTACATTACTGTATTTTATGTTTAGTGACTTTGTTTTATTTTTTTGTTTGCTACTTGATTTTTTGCACTCTTTCCACCTTTGCATACCACCTCGGCACCAAGTATCACCATAGGGACAATCAGAATTAGAAATTGTTCCTATCCAATTTTAAATATAATTTTGTTAGAATTTCTTTAAAAAAAAAAACATTGAAATTAAGGATTAATTTAAAGACCTATTCCTACACAATTAGAATTTTAAGATAAATCACAAGGTTGTTAAGGGTTCTATGTGAAATTCAGCATAAGGCCTCCGTCTGGGTGGGGAGTAGTGGAATATTATTGCTGTTTATGAGCAAAAACAACAGAAAAGTCAGTTTTTCAGGCCAGTGTATTTATATAAAGCCAAATAAAAACAACTGTTATCACAAGCCAAACAAATAGAATTTAAATTATGTAATATATATTAAAATAAGACTATATACCATCCAATTATATAGACAAATTCAGTTTTAATTATTAACAATTCAATTAGATCCCACTTATACCTCAGACCTGTTCAAGTTAAGGGTATAGTGGAAGCTCTTCTTTGTGCTTTGAGTTCAGAGCGATCATATAGTTTGAAAACTTGAGCGATGAGGACAGATTATAAACAGAGCTGTGTACTTACCTATATATATATATTTTTTTTTATATATATATAAATCTTCCACTATGTATTGAAATAAGTTTCTTTTTATTATTTATGTTTTTATTTTTTATTTTTTTATTGGAAATAGAGATAAAACTACCCTTTATTGTCTCACAGAGGGGAAACTCAAGTTTGTCATTGGCAAAGCAAAAAAAGCTAATGGAAGCATGGAAGTTCACACATCACCAAAACAAATAATGTGAAAATTTAAAAGACTAAAAAAATCTGTTAAAATTAAAACAGATCAAACAAACAAAACAGGAATTGAAAACTTGAATAGACTATTCAGTAAAGGAAAAGCCAACATCACAGAGAAAGAAAGACTGTAGTTACAAAGATGGCCTACTTGATTGAATAAAGAGAGACATGGTCGGGTAACTCGCCAGCCATGCTTGTGAATAAACAAACTAACCAACCACTCACAGATTAAAGCATCATTAATTAGCATCATTCACATGCAATCAAAGAGTGGGAAAGAAAATACATAATTTATATGGTTGTATTGTATTGGCTTATTTGTCATATTCAGGTTAACAAAAAGTCCACAATGTTATTTAATGTTAATTGAATTCAGTTTACTTATATAGCAGCAATTCATAACACATGTCATCTTAAGATGCTCTACAGAGACAGTTCAATCAGATCATACAGTTAGATATGATTTAAAGTCTTCTATCTAAGGAAAATTTGTCATTTAATATTTAGGATGAAAATTAAGGAGTACGAATAACATGCAATAAAAACATCACATAATGCACCAGCAATAAAACAACAACAAACAGGTTTGAATCAATTCATAGAAAACAATAATTTCAGAAGAAATATTATAAAAGTTAATGCTCCCTTTATGTGTTTAGCTTCCCTAAATGTTAGTATGTCTAATAGTTTTTTCATAACGTTCACTTATTGTGAATTTAAGTCTGATGTTTTGGTTGTCTGATATAGACCTAACTTTTCTCCTGCTTTTTAGATACAAATTGTTCAGACCCTGCAAAGTGTTTCCTGGAGCCCTACCTCCATTCCTCTAGCAATCTTTAATTTAATCCTGGCAAACCTATTGTCTTTCACTTATACACTTATTTTTTTGCCACCATTGGCGTTAAATGTTCAAAACACTAAGCACTATAATCATCTTAATACTTGTTCAATAAAAGTAAGCATAACCAGAATAAACATAACCAGGTACTTAGATTTGCAGGCAACAAAGACACAATGTCTGTTTCACAGCATTTTTTTCAGTCGAGCGGACTTTAGTCAAGCATGCCAGAATCACAGGAGGAGAAGGAAGCCTGACAGGCTGCATTCCTAAGAAAATATCATTGCGTGCAAAACAAATGGAGGCACTTTGATGACATGACTGTACATGACTGTTAATGACACAGAGTAAGCAAAGTTTACTGATGATCTGATGGATAAAAGTAGCAAGAAAATATATGTGGCCAATCACAAAATGCTGTTTGTTCAGACTGAGATGAGGATGATACAAGTCTGTCTCCAAAAAGAAAACATCTCACCAAAAGGAAAAACAATTTGATTTTCTACAGGCACTTAATAGGTTTGTTTGAAATGAGATGATGAGTATCTGCTGTTCAGTTTTTGCCTGATGGCAAAATAAAAACCTGTTGTGGTTTAAATCTGAGCATTAGGGGTGGAGTTTGCATGTTTTTTTTTTCTTCACATGCAGGGTTTTACTATAAGCATAACTTCCTGTCAAAGTATAAAACCCTGCAAAATTATGCACGTGTTAATGTTGGTTTGCAACTATTATGGACTGGATACTTTTTAGAAATTGCCCTACCAAAAAAAAAAAAAAATCAGGATAAGGCCCAGCAGATCTTAAGCAGGATTATATAAACAAAAGAGAAAACATAGTTACAATTTCTGAAATACTCTAAAAAGCTTATAAGTGGTAGGAGAAAATATTAAAAGTTTTAAAAATGAAGCAAGTGTTTACTTGTATAGTTCCATCATACAAGCAAAATGAAACCCAAAAAAATACAAGCCCTCAATGGTTCAAATTAAATAATCAAAATTTTTTTCTGATTTTCTCTTTCTTTTTTATGATTATAAGAGGGTTCATCACAAACTGTTATCATTTGGAAGATAAAGGAAGAACACGCAACAACCAGGTTTGATTACCGTGTTTACTCCACTTTGCTTCATTAGGAGAATGAAAAAGGCACCAAAACACACATATCTGTAAACCTCAACATCCTGTTGTCTGGGAAGTGTGTTTAATTGTGGACCCTGCAAGTCCAGGACCCTTGGCTTGATCAACTGGTTGTAACAGCTGAGCATGAAGACCTTATAAAGCCAGCGCGGAGCACCTTACCCTTAAGGCAAGGCTTAGGAAGCTGAGGAGAAGCTGTGATGGCTGATGAGTTTCTGGCCTGGAGGGAAGACAGTTGTTCATTAAAACCATGGAGGAATGAGGTCCAAGGCAGGGAATCAGGGTTGCTACCTCTTGATTGTCTGGATCTCGATGTATATGGATGTACAGTGGTTAAACTGCTAATTGCAAGACACTAAGAATTTAATAAGGCTGCAATTTCATCATGCAAAAGAAATCAAAATAAGGATTATTAATAAAGATTATAGTTGTGCTCTTGCAAACACTTTATTTAAAAATGTAAATGCCCTGGAGCTTTAAGGATTATCTGATTTGCATGTTGCTCAAACAAATCTTTACAGGTGTGGAAAAATACTCCAAAATGTGTATAAAAGTTATTCAAGGGAAGACGTGAAACTTGTAGGGAGCTTAATTTCTATAAAAGTTTTAAAAAAGCATTTAATCCGCAATTAATCCTCCAAAAAGATGTTCAGTTATAGGGATTAATTCTGTTTTAAAAATTCAAATGTATGTTTTCTGTTTAATTATTAAGATCATTATGTTGAAGACTTTGTTATATAAATCCTAAACAAATGCTAATATGATTTTTTTTCTTTCTTCTCTTTTTTTTCCTGTTTAGGATTTCTGTATAGGATTTGTGGAAAAAAAGGTCCAATGTAAGATTAGTAGAATTTGTTTATATGAATTACTTAAGCATCGTCTTTTTCATGATTTCTTTTGTGTAATTCCCAGAACTAAAACATGTCTGGAAGAGAATAAAGCAGATTGGGGTGAAAATGTTTACAAAAAGAAAGAAACAAATAAATAATCCATAATAAGAAAAGAAAAATCCCTCAAAAACTCACCTTTTGCTGCTTTTTATTACCGCAAGCCTCTTCCTTGACTGTAGGTGGCGCTCGATTGCAGTTATGACGTTAGAGGAACATCTTTACCGTAGAAGAAGAGTCTGTTGTTACTGATGTGGGAGAAGAAACCGTTAGCTCTGTTTACAGAAGGTAAGTTTAGATTATTTTACACAAAAATGTGTATCTTTTGAATATTTAACATGTTTTATGTGTGTTTCATAGTGACGTCATAATAATGGCATTATTGATTCGATGTAGCTGGATAACTAGCGTGTGTAGCTGTTTACTTTGTTCAGCAGAGTTTATCACTAAGTGTGCTCTGATGAATACAGAGATAGAAATGGAAATAGTGAAGTCTGATTGTTGTTGTAAACCGCATCACAGATGTCAGGTAGGAGGAGGCTACTGCCCTGTGTGGGTCTGGGGCTGCTCGCTGTCCTCTGCTGGGTGTGGGTCTCCTTCGCCTCCCTCTCTGGAGAACAGCTTCATCTCGAAGTCCTGGACGTGGCGGACCGAGGAGCCTTTCAGCCGCAGAGCGCTTTGTCCGACATGGAGTTTGGCTCTGTGGCCTCATACAGAGGACCAGGGAACAGTGACCGCCGCAGTAACAAGGAGCTGCCCATTATCCTCTGGTGGAGTGGGGGACTTTTCCCACACTTCCCTGGTGACACTGAACGCATCGACTGCGCCACGTCCTCCTGCCTGGTGACAAGCAACCGCAAGGTACCAGATTTCAATTCAATTCAGTTTATTTCTGTTCTGCCATTTCACAACACATGTCATCTCAAGGCACTTTACTGTTCACCAGATCATACAGTCAAATTGATTCAAAGTTTTCTAAGCAAAACAAGTTGATTGCATCGACTCATTGACTCAAATGCAATCACTCACACTAAGCATGCTTGTAGCGACAGTGGAGAGGAAAATCTCCCTTTTAACAGGAATAAACCATCAGCAGAACCAGGCTCAGTGTGAGTGGCCATCTATCAGAGGCAGAGATTCAAAAAGCAGCTGTAAAAGGCACCCCGTCAAGGAAACACACAGCCAGGCAGACGAGCTCAGAGCCAGCTCCCATGTCAGAGGATGAAGAGAGCACATCCAGCCAGTCACGGTCAGAGAAACAGGACTACACTGAAAACAGGCCGATCTCCAACATCTATAAACAAGGGTGTTGATGGCAGCAGCACAGCTGATATTTCTCTCGAGGATGGAGTCACAGCCAAACAGGAACATTTCCTGAAGGGTTTGACTCAAATAGAAGAAAAGTGGTGTGTTTGCATCAGTATTACTGCTCTTTATCACATTTAGACACATAACAACCCAAACCTTAATGCATTTTATTTGTTTTAGAGATGAAGAATAAAATTTCATGATTGATGGACCTCTAGAATGTTGATTACAACTTTAAAGGCAAATTAACTTTTTAGTAAATGGAGTCAACCTGTGATTGATTTAATCACACTCTTTTTTTATTAATTCATAAGAGGTTAATCTTGGAGAACATTAGTGAACAAACAGCCATGAAGGCCAAGGAACACAACAGACAGGGTCAGGATTATGCTTTGAATAAGCACAGTTAGGGTATAAAACATAATTTCAAGCCCTACATTGTTTTTTTTAATGAGAGGCGATAAATCTGTTATCTGAAAATGCATGAAATGATCACAGCAGCAGATCTAAAGAGACATGGCACTGTTGATATGATAAGTATCCAGAACGAAGGAGACTGGTAATCAGGAAAAGGCAGTAAAAGATCATCCAGCTCATACCATCAATCTAAGTGTCATAACTTCATACAATCCTATTTTCCTTCGGATCAGGTGGAACAATCTGTCCACAAACTATTTTATTCAATGACTAAAACATTTTCAGAGGAGCAGCTGGAAGAGAGCTATTATTAAAGTAGCCATTGGCTCTTCTTAATTAATTTGCCACAATTCATGTTGACTGAATACTGCAACTATAAAGAAGACTGATCTCTAGTCAGATAAAACCAAGTTTTAACTGTTTTTGTTCAACAAGCAAATGCTATTTACTATTCCTACCGTAAAACATTGTGGTGGCAGTATCATGCATGAGGGATGTTTTTATTTAGCAGATCATAGTAGATGGACAGATGGGACAGAGCTAAATACAGTACCATATTGGAAGAAAAGGGTTTAGGTTCACCTTCATACAGGATTAAAAATCTTAAACACACAGATCAATTCAAAAATGAGTAGCTTAGACCAAAGGATTTAGTCTGTAAACCTGCAAGCAATGTTGAGAGATATCCAAATAGGTTATTGCAGTTAGAAAGCTTTGCAAAATTCTGACTTTCAGGGAAGCTAAATGGAATAAGATGACACATTTTAGACTTGTATTGGTGCAAATAATTCAAAATGATAAAGAATTGTAATTTCACTTGAGAAATGTGCATTTATTAGTGCGGCTCTGTGTTCTAAAATCTAAGTAAGATTCAATTCAGTTTGTGGTCTTAATGTGCTGAAAATATCAAAAGCCAAAGGTTACTGTTAAAGTGCACACATTAAAAACGCGCACTGTTCTCTTGGATTCTGAAAAGGTCCAGCTTTACAAGAGGACAGCATCCATCATCTTTTATGGGACAGACTTCAGGGCGTATGAGGCTCCACTCCCCCGCCTGCGCCACCAGACCTGGGCGCTTTTCCACGAGGAGTCACCGATGAACAACTACATCCTCTCTCACGGACCTGGGATCAGGCTGTTTAATTACACGGCCACATTTCGCAGGGAGTCAGACTATCCCCTGACTCTGCAGTGGCTGCCCTCCCTTGAATACCTGCTGGAGCCTGTCGCTGTGTCTCTGGAGGAGAAAAACCGCCTAAGGAGGGAGGGCTTGGCTCCTGTGCTTTATATGCAGTCTCACTGCGACGTGCCATCGGACAGAGACCGCTACGTCCAAGAACTCATGAAGTACATCCAGGTAGAGTCATTAAAGGGTGCCTTTCTTTCTGCTTTATATTCATATAATCAATAAGAACTGTTTAGTTAAATTGATATGAGAGGCTACCAGACTTGATGTTTTGCATTGACTTATTGTTCTCTACTGAGAGTGTTATTGGACAACATGTAGTTTACCAGAAATGGGTTTTCCAGAACAATCCCATTGGTCCTTATTGAATTTTCCATCCAGGAACAGAAAATATTTTCAGAATAAATCTGTGAGCAGTTTAAAGGTCAGCTCAGGCTTTTCAGTCAAAGGTTTCATTAACTTGAGTGGAAATTTACCAGAATCCCAGGTATATCTATGATAAAGCATCGTATAGAATGTTTAGAGGTCAAGTGCTAAAAAAATCTTGTGATTTTTACTCATCCTCTTCTGACATGAATAATCGTATCGTTAGTCGTTATCTTGATACATTTCTAGACATGATGGCAATTTTGAATTATCATCAAAATAATAAAATAGAAATAATAATGATAAAAGGCTTATAAAATGGGTTGATTGTGAATTTTAGTTTTAATATATTTGTTCTTTTATAATTTTATTCCATTGGGGTATTGGCAAATTCATGAGTAAATGTGGTTCCTATTGGATGTTTAGTGATATAAATCCCACTACTTTATGTAACTGGTGTCCTGAAGAAGCCTGTTTTATATTTGTGTATTTTTTTAAGAGTAGCATTAGCTATTGGGAGGCTAAGATTTCTGCGATGGGCAGTCTCAGTTAGGGATGTCCTGATCCGATATTATTAGAGGGTATCGGCCGGATTTTTACTCAAACTCTCGTATCGGATTAAATTAGCCTGCATCTAAATTTCCGATTTTTTTTTTTTTTAAAGCTGATAGAGACTCTTTGGTTTGAGGTTTTTATAACTCATTGTTAAATGTAACATTGATCATTTGTACCTCTTGTTGTTGACTATTGTTCACTGCTATAGAAATACCACATGATCAGGTTTAACTAACATTCTACAGTCAAAAATGAGCAATAATAGCCTGAATGATTCGTGCTAACATCGTATCGGAAATGGAAAAAGTGCTTGTAAGGGTGGTTAAGTTTCCCCAACTTTAACCTATAAAAAATGAAACAAAGACATTGTAAGATTTTTCCTGAAATGCTTTGCAAAGGGGAGTCCAGAGTTGAAAAATCAATCTCTGCATCTCCGCTTGGCTCAACACTTGCCAGGCTTTTTATTGAGCAGTCAACACATTCCAACAGCATGCGTTAGTTTCGATTACGCAGTCTCTTAGACATAGCATGAACTTTTAAGATAGGGAACTTGCCTGGTTTTAGTATACGCTTTACACAAAGTGTCGGGGTTATGACTTTTCACTTCTCTGCTTCTCAAATGAAAAACAGGGAAGCATTCTTGCAAAACATTTGACCGTCTTATGGCCTTCATACACTATTTCCAATAATGAGAGCAACATATAGAACATATAAATGATTAAAAGCAATATAAAACATATAAATGAATAAAATGATAAAAACAACAAAAATCATAATAACTCTAAAAGTGGTATTAGGACACCCCCAACAGCTATGCTGTATAATTACCAAAGAACAACTTCAAAGAATTAATGAAGAGTGTTTTTATCGTTATCAGGATTTTACCACAAAATATGATGCGATTTTTAAAGCCATATCGCCTAGCCTTAATGAGCTTTAGATGCAGAGTTCCTCTGCAGACTGGAAATTTCTAGAATTATGTGTTTATTCGGCTCTAGATCGGTCTAAACAAATAAAAACACAGACTAGAGTTGAAAAATATTAGTTTTTGAACTTTGTCTCCATTCTCTAAAACCCATCCATTGATCCATCGCTGAGAACTTTACAGATTACTGGCATAAATAGTTAAAATAAGAGATACAAACAACTCAATTTGAGTGTGGAAAAGAAGAAAGCGTTAAAATGATAAAATAAAATTGTCATTCTCTTGGTTATTAGGTGGATTCTTATGGGAAATGCCTGAACAACAGACCCCTCCCAGAACACCTGGAGGACACAGCCACTGCTACCGGCGAGGAGCCGGGATTCATGAACTTCGTGGCTCGCTACAAGTTCCACCTGGCACTGGAGAATGGCGTGTGTCCAGATTACATGACAGAGAAGCTCTGGCGGCCCCTCCATCAGGGCTGCGTGCCTGTCTATCGAGGCTCCCCGGTGGTGGCTGACTGGATGCCCAACGACCACTCAGTCATAATTATAGATAACTTTCCCTCACCCAAAGCCCTCGCAGACTTTCTCAAGCATCTGGATGAGAACGATGATGAATATGTTAAATATTTAGAGTTCAAGGACCCCAGAAGGATTACCAATGCTCGCCTGCTGGAGGGCTTGGAGACGCGTGAATGGGGAGTTAACGACATGAGCAAGCCTAACTACCTAAATGGATTTGAATGTTATGTTTGTGAGCAGGAGAATGCCCGATTGGCTGCAGAAAGAGCCTACAGGAAAGCTCAGAAGAGGAACCAAGCACCTCAGCCTAAAATGGCCAGTAACTCCCACATGGGCTGCCCACTGCCCAGCCCGGGGTACGGAGACGTCAAAGACTTGCCTCCAGACGACGGGTGAGTTGGAGCCAATTTATTCATCCTGCCAGGTGTGAACGCCACCTTCTCTCTCAACCCTAATGTAAATAGGAATGTCCTGAGGGGAGAAAAATCTCTTCGTTTTATTGTCTAATTAAAGTAGCCTTTTGAAAAGAGTCTAATCTGTTTGCCTATCTGTCTGCAGATGGTTGCAAATATGGCCTCAGGATTACTGGCAGAGCCTCGATCAGGCTGAGGGGCTGGAGTCCCTGATAAGACACAACGAGTCGGACCCCTCTCTGCTGTGGAAGCACATCCAGAACATTGCTGTGAGCAGAGCCAGAGGAAAACACTGACACAGGCTCTAAAGCAAACAGAGCATGGAGCCCGTCCAGGGCTACAGGGCGGCCCCTGTTATGCGTCCCCTCTGTTTAAACCAGGGTTCAAATCACAGTTTCACACCGAGCCTCAACAGCTTCCCTTGTGTGGATTATAGTGTCTTCAAAAATCTTCAAACCTCTTAAGCTTGTTCAAACTACAACCAAATCCCTTTATTTATTCGATCAGGATTTCATGTGATAGAGCAGCAAAAAAAAGTGACATGGTTGAAAAGATATTTATAACACTGCAAAAAATTAAAATCTTAATAAGTTATTTTTTCTTAAAATAAGTGCATTTTATCTTGAATTGAGGAGGTAAGTGAGACATTTTGCCAATGGAACAAGACAATTTACATTTAAAATAAGAAAAATAATTGCAGTCTCTTATTTCAAGTGCATATTTTCTAATTATCTTATTTTAAGAGTAAACATACTAATTCCATTGGCAGATCATCTTATTTACCAACTGAAATTAAGGGTAAATAACGGTACACTTAAATTAAGAAACTTTTACCGTACTTATTTCTAGATTGTTTTTGCAGTGAAATACATGTCTGAGAAAGTGTTACAGCATCGATGCATATACAGTCCCCTAACATGAATACTCCTTACAACAATCATTCTCTTTCATTGCAGCTTAAAGCCATTTGAGGCACATTTAGAAACTTTTTTTTCCTTTGCAAAGTAGTTTAGGTTCAAGCAGCCTGGCCAGTCACTCTGATTTATACGTCTGGTAATCAGTTTGGCCCATAATGCAACAGCGCTTCCCTGCAACCATAACAGTCAAGTATGCAGCTGCAACAGAGAAATGGTTTAATGATGCCCTTTTTTATGTCCCGAAAGTGATGCTTATGTTATTCAAATGTCAAAAACTGGCTGCTGTAGAAGCTTTTCTTAAAAAAAAAAAAAAAAAGATGTTTTTGCATCATATGCATATTTATCTGATTGGTTCTAACCAGTTTCCAGAATAATAGGCTTTCTATATGTTGTAAATTAGTCTCCTGGGCCTCAGATTGTTGATCTGATTTAGCTCTGGTCTTTCATTACATCATTTTAACGCATTACTGACTTGCCAGTTATAGCATTCCTCTAAGTTTTAGATGTTTCTCAAATTCAGCTCACCGACATTTAAGCCTTTTTGTGTTTTGATATACAGAGGGAGTAATTCAGCCATTTCGTTGAGCAGAAGCACATCTTAAACGCGGAGGACGACAGCCGTATCGAACAGACTTTCATCCAGACTTGCTGTTCGTTTACCTCCACCCATCTTCTCATTATCTGTGACATATTCACTGTCACTGCTTTAAAAAAAAAAAGCCCCACAGCTGCCACCATCACCATGAAATGCCATGTTCAGGATAAGGACCAATACCTCACATGTAGATAGAATAAAATCATCTTGGTCCAATCTTCCCACATCTCCTCCCTCCACATGTTTTCTGTATCCGGCTGTATCCTTTTTAAGGCTTTCCTAATAATAAATCCACTTTTCTATAAAGGCCAGATATGTGGAGCATATGGCCAATAGGATTTCCCCCTCAGATTTGGATCTCTGCAGCTCCTCCAGGCTACCACGACGCTTCTAGCTGGATGCTCTCCTTTCCTTTGGCTTTATACGTTAAATGGCTTCTCAAGGCAGTTTGTTGCACTGGATTTTATTTAAGGGGTTTTGGAAAAGGGAACTAAATTAATTTGCATGCAACACTTTTCGGAATTGTAAAAAGTTTGAAAACCACACAGTCTTTAGGTCTGACTTTACAGCCACTCTATCACATGCAATCCCAGGGCAACACCATAAAGGTTATGGTTGTAATGTGACAAAATATGAAAAAGTTCAAGGGTTAAAAATACTTTCCCATCTGAATCTGGTGCATTTATACCACATGATTCTCTATCCAACGTGACACTTTGGAGGATGTCTCAGAAGCTTAGATATGGACATTTTCATGTGATAGCCAGAGCAGAGGGGACATAACCATATTTTCTCTGCATTAAGCATTAAATGTGCAGTTGTTACAGGGGCAGATGCTCTTGGAAAGCTGCTTTTTTTCAGCTCTGGAGCCGAGCCAAAAGGACTTGTCCTGTGCACCCAAGGAGATCTGCCTAACTGTGTGTGAAGACCATCAAGGCAGCAGCCAGTGGTCTGCTTGTGCTTTTTTTAAAGTTAATCTGCAGGTGGCCAATGGCTGGTAGCCAGAGTCACAATTATGCAAACAGCTACTTGAAGTGACAGTACAAGGAAGGTGCTTTTATTTTTTTTGCATAGGAGTTTGGGGAATGTAAAGCACAGCTTCCCAGCAGGAAATCTCTGCACTAGTGATGGTTCGTGAAAACAAAACAATTCAGAATTTTTGTGATAAATACTTTACATTATTGCTCAGACCCTCATATGTTGCATCACACTAAACTCTTCCTTGTGCAATAATTCTCATTCTAAACCGACTGCTGTGTGTTTTCAAGCACACTCTGTTTTTATTTCTTATATATAACATTTGTACCAGGATTTTGTAAAGCATTTTATTTTGCTAGCAATTTATTGTACATATCAACTATTTTGTATGAAGAAAAGTAAAATAAATGAATGTTTTTTTAACAGTACATCTTCTGTTGTTGAATTAGTATTCAAGCACATGACAACCTGAGTCCAAACATTAAAAAAGAAACGCATAAAAAAACACATCCTTCATTATAAACTGACACACAAACACGTTTCTCCCCCTAAATAATGGATTGTTTCTAATGCTTAATGACTTACAGATGTGTTATTATAAAATATATTTGTGCAAACTTGAGATGATTCCCAACTTATGAATATTAACATGAAGAAAGGGGTGCGAGGATAAGGAAGTGATGAAAAGCTCGAAGGATTAAACGACGGCGGCGTAGCAGCTCTCGCAGTGGACCTTCCTGTTGTGCAGGAACATGTTGGCAAGAAGATCTCCCATGGGTCTACTACACACACCACACTGCAAGAGAAGAATATCATCTTAGGCAGTGTTGCAAGGAAAATCCTCTTACCGTTTAATAAAACCTTGACGGCGCAAACACATGCTGGAGCCTTAAAAACTCCTTAAAGGCTTTTCGTGTTTTTGCGTTCAGCATCAAAAATTTAAAAACATTTTATTACAAGGAAGATATTTGTAAAATAACACAATAAAGACACTTGTTGTGCTAGTACTCTAATTTGTAGTTAAATTAATTCACAGCAGAAAAGTCCCACTGATATTTGTTGACGTTTTGCAGCAAACAGAGAGGGGGACATTTGACCATTTCTCTTTCCATCTAGATCAGGGGTCAACAACGCGGTGCCCTCAAGGACCACATGGAGGGCCCTCAGAGTCTTCTAAATGAAAAACAACCCACCTGTGGGCTAAGTTTGAAATTTTATTTTATTCTGTTGCTCTTCTTTTTAATCATTTATAGAGATTTCAAAATGACAATGTCTAAATAAACTTAGAAATTAACAGAAACAATAAAAATATGTTAATAATGAACAAAGTTTAAGCTAACGCTAACCCTTGCAGCTCATGGGTCAGTAATGGCCGCCTTTCCTACGTCTCGGTACCCTTGAAGTGGCCTTAAAAAAGTTGGTGACCATCTAGATGGTCAAAAGTCCGGGAACTTAACAGGTTTCCTACAGGATTTAAAGATGAATCTGGTATGGTCGTGGAAGAAGATTCTTTTGTGAACCATTTCTGAGTGGGTTTGGCTCTGTTCATGATACCATGCCCTCTAACAAGGTTACCCCTGCCTTTAGCAGTGAAAAAAGAGGCCCGCAGCATCACAAATCCTTTACCATACCTTACAGGAGGCCAGAGAAGCCTTCAAAAATTATTATAATTTCGTTTTTTGCATTAATGAAATAATGCTCTCCATTCAAATAGTTTAACAACTATAACTTAACTGTATAGTTAGCCTTTATAACCCAAAGGAAAGATCATTCAATATTTATAAATCAGCTTAGAAATATAAACTTACATCTAATTGCTAGAGGCCCTAAATAAATGGACTCAAACTGAAGGTTTGTTTTTTTTTTTTATTGCAGAAGGCAAACTGTGCTAATGTAAAAAAAGCTGAATATTACAAGGCTTTAACACATATTTACCATTAGTGTCAACAGGTCTAGGGAGCGCTATAAATAACCGATACATGGGCACCATTTACCTTGAAGCACTCGGGGTGGCAGTTTATACTTAGGTGCTCGATGGTGATCTTGGCCTCGTTGCCCACCTTATTTCCGCAGTACGTGCAGTTGGACGACAGCGAGACCCTGAAGAAAAACACAGGGATGGGAACAATTTAGGCTGATCTCCTGAAATACGAGTAAATAATCCTTTGATGTTCCCACTAATGAGCTGAATGCAAGGTTGGCTCGCAGGGATTTCTGTCCCACTGTTCGCACACCGGTTGTGTCAGGAGTGGAAGAATAAATAGGTGAGAGGAGACGGAACTTCGGCTTAAAGCTGGTTTTAAACTGGAATTTGTGTTGGTGCATGGATTAGGTGATAAGGGTGACTGAGAGGTTGATGTCTAACAACACGACGCTCTGTTGGAACAAGATCAGTGAGAGTGAGCTTACGTAAAGGAAAGTAAACACACTCAAAGCTGAGAGCAAGCAGCTCAAAGCACTTAAATGGTGAGATTTAGCCCTGTCAGTGGCATATTGAGGCGCAGAAGGGGAAGAATGGCAGTGAAAGGGTGAAATAAATACTTTTTATATTAGATTAAAATAAATAAGTAAAACTCCAAGTAAGTAACGCAGTGGAAAACACAATCTCTGCATTAAATGCTGTAAAGTCTCTACATGTGAGCATGTTCTGTTTGTTTTTAAATGCATACCATGGAGAGAAATATGTACTGAAGAGGACTAGGGCCGCTGAAAAATAAAATTACCTGATTTTTAAATATTATTTCAGTTTAGTATGTTTAGTATCTCAGAATAATCTAAGAATTCTGACTTTTTTTTCATTGTCAGTATACAGTCAGAATTCTGAGATTAAAGTCAGAATTCTAAGAAAAAAGTCAGAATTCTGAGATTAAAGTCAGAATTCTGAGATTAAAGTCAGAATTCTAAGAAAAAAGTCAGAATTCTGAGAAAAAAGTCAGAATTCTGAGATTAAATTCAGAATTCCGAGATTTTTTTTCCCTACTTGCTTTGATTCTGTTTTATTTTCATGTATTTTAATCATGTAAAGCACTTTGCATTGTCTTTGTACTGAATTGTACCATACAAATAAATTTGCCTTGCCTTGCCTTAAAGTCATAATTCTGAGATTAAAGTCAGAATTCTGAGATTAAAGTCATAATTCTGAGAAAAAAAGCC